ATAATAATCGCGATAGCGTAAAAATTCTGCCAAATAATAATACCACAACTCGTAGTAAATTTTCCAACAACGGGCAGAATTTTATTAGTGATAGCGAAGCGTGAACATTCTGCCAAATACTATATCATAACTTGCTGCTCGTTACTTCCACGCCTTTCACCCCGTACTGACCATATTGAAACAAAAACTTCCCGGAGTTCTATTTATTCGTAATGATTACCTGAGATGACAGTCAATCATTTACTGCTGAGAATAAGCGCAAAATTAACTTTCATTTCACCGTATTTGAAGTTACCCGTGTTGCGTTTATTGAAGAAAGACGAATCGTGCTAAGCGGAGAAAAATGATTGATTCGGTGATGACTCGACTAGAATCGGAGCAAAGGGACTTGCACCCATCCCATTTGATTGCCCTGCGCTAGAATCCCATGGGAGATAGTTTTGTGTGAGAGGGTTACTGGACTCCTCGCGGCTAGCGCTGGTCGGTTTTGGCTTGCCCTATCGTGTTCATGCAGTTCAGCACAGTGACGCCAATGTTCCCCCTCCCCCCAAAAAGATAAATAAAAAGAAAATTCATCATTTCCTGTACTTGTCTGTCTGTCAGTGTATGATATGCTTTAGTTAATTTGCTGGTTTATCTGAAAATTTAGTTGAGTTTACTGCAATTTGTTAACAGTATTCAAATATTATTCAAATTGATTTATACCCGGAAAAAACTTTTCAATAAAATCAATTTCTTGATCAATTTGTTGATTAAAAACGTGTGGGATTTAGTTCAAGTGTTAGGTAATAAATTCAAATATGAACTGGCTCAGGGCAAGACCACGCGCTCATTAAAAATCGAAGAAGACTCACCTCTGAGTAAAGTTTCGGGCACTTGCTCAAGAGTAAAGAGGCCTCATCTCTGAGTATAGTATGTCGTTTAATACAAGGACATGGATGTTTGGCCATTCAATTTGGCACCAGTCAAGTATTGAAAAGAAAATACAGTCAAATAAAAAATGATCCGGAGTGGCGATCCGAAATATATATCATATCCAATAGTCGACATCTAGTTCTAGAAGTAGACAGTAGCCTGCAAGATTTTTACACTGCATATTTATACATCTTTTGCCACGAACACGGCCCGCCAAGCCATTCAGTGAGGTCAACACTCAGATTTTTCCAATGAGACGTAAAATCCGAATCCGACAGTTTATGTTTGAAAGTGCGCGCACGTGGGTGAGGATATACATAATACTTTTTGCTCTTGAACATTTCGGCGTTTTTCCTGGTGCTTTTATTACTGCAAGGCTAAGCAATAGTTGCATTCTCTTCTCTTGCCTTTCCCGCGTTGGAAAACTAAATTTTTTGTGTGGCTCGGCTAGATGGATGTCTCCAGTTGGTTATATGACCCACCGACTAATTTTTTTTACACCCCTGGTTTATAAGAACCGCGACCCAAGGCATTACACGCTGGGCGAGGGTGTTTACAATTAAACGTAAATTTTCATTTTTTCAAAATATGAAAATATTATGACATAAGGAGATCATTTATTACGGATAAATGGAAATGTAATAATACTTGTTACATCATAATCAATCATATAAATGGAGCACGAACAAATACAACTAGGTCTTTGATTAATTAGACAACATTAGTCTTTTTAATTAACCTAAGAAATGTCTTCGTTAATTATCCACGTTCACGCATCCGCACGTGACTTACGTTTTATGAGATGTTTTCCGGGTTTTTCAGAACGAGAAAGTCCCTGGAGAGGCCGCCATTAATACCTAGCTATACGTAAAAAATACTTGTTACGAAAAATTCCCTGTGAGAGCAGCCATCGATATCTAACTATACGTACTCTCGTAATGTGTGTACCAGGTTAGGGTTAAGCCATAATTTTATTCCGATTTTCCTTATTTTGGTTCTATTACTAGTTCGGGACTGTCTGTGTTAGCCAAGTGATAATCCCCCTGCCCTAGGTTTCAGTCCCTTTAAACAACTTGATGTAAAGTAGGTGAACAAAATTAGTGACCTACATATTGGTACACATACTTCTGGAGCGCCGTTTATTTGATGGAAAGGAAATTCACATATCTCAATGGTACTATGAGCCAGCCTCTCATACGGTTACTAGCAATGTAGAGTAGATCTAATTTAAGTAAATGTTCAAGTGATATTCCATAGTCACTGTGTCATCTTTTTATTTCGAGTTCTTCTTTTTTGTTATTTCTTTATATGATTATGTTTAATTAAGCAAATGTTTTTCAAGTTGTTCTGTTGGTATATTTGCTGCTTCAATTCATCTGCAAAAGGGGACTCATTTCTGAGTAAAGTTACCCGCACTCACTCAAGAGTAAAGAAGACTCATCTCTGAAAGAAGTTATGGACGATTGACTGGATGACTCTTTCGCGACCCCTCGTCAACTGCAATAGGCCGATATTCGTTTTTGTAATTTGTTGCATGCATTTTATTTATTTCATATCGCACATTGGTTTTGCACGAAGAATTGAAATAATTAACGTCATTGAATTATTTTTTAATAAAGCGAAAAAAAGCAATTATTTGTCATCAATTTGAATTGTTACGTCAAAGCACATTTAACGAACGAATTCATCATTAATAAAATTATTTATTACGTCACTATAAAAAACTAATCCAACAACTCAAGTTATCATTAGATTATGAGTCAACAATTCAATAAGTTCAAACAATTGATGTCACCCCCCCAATTACTCAAAATAAAATTAATCAATAAGTAAACGATCGACAAGTGATCAATATTATTTAGGTAATTATACAATATCAAACTAATACTGAAAACTATATGCCGTGGAGTTAACCCAGCTTAAGTTCAAACAGTGTTACATAATTTAAACTTTTGTGAGATGAACGGAAAGTTTGAGCGCAAAGTTTGAACAGACTTTCCTTGTCTGAATTTTTCTGCGGCTGTTGTTTGCCTTCACCACTTTGAACAACGTCATGGAAAACCGGCCACTAATATGATATGAAGCTGTTATAGTTTCCCCACCGATGAAGTTACAAATTTGGCGATTGAAAGTTATATCAGATTAATGCATAACTCGCTAGAGTTCGCAATGTGCGTACTGGGCTTATTCAACAGCCTTTTTCATCTTAACTTCCTGGCATTCCCGCCCCCCTCCAAAATAAAAAAAAATTGGACGTCTCACTAAATTGGCCTTTAGTTCTACTTCTGAATCATACTTTTAAATGATCTTCAAGTGTTTTCAAACATAAAAGACTTTAAATAAACAGTCATTCATATGCAAGGAGCAACAATTATTGGACGCATCGTAATCTGTTCAGATCAGCGTTGTCCGAAAAATGTAATTACATCGTGGGCATGGTATTCAAACTCAAGATATCGGTCACCATTATTGATTGAGGCAGTTATATAATATCCGAACCATTCAAAAACGTTTATTACGTCACTATTTGAAGAAACCCTATCAACAATCAAAATAATCATCAGATTATGAGCGAACAATTCAATAAGTTCAAACAATTCATGTAACCCCCCAATCACTCAAAATCAAATTAATCAATAAGTAGCCGATCGATAAATGTTCAATATTTATTAATTATATAATACTCCTAAAAATAAATAATTGAAGTATCATGTGTTGACCCAACTTTAAGTTCATAATATATTACATAATTTAAACATTTTGTGTGATAGAGGCAATACAACGGAATTTTTTTCTCTTTGTGTAATGTGCCTTTCCATAAGTATTTCCTAGACAATGTTCAGATTCAGGTATTTATTTTTGTAGACAAAACCAATATACGATATGAAATAAATAAAATGCATATAACAAATTACAAAATCGAATATCGGTTTGTTGCAGTTGATGAGGGGTCGGGAAGGACTCAAAGAGTCATCCAGTCAACGACACCTTGTAGTTGCATTGAAGCAGCGAATATAGCAACGGAACAACTTAATATCTTACCAAGTTTGGTTAACGCATCAAAAGAACCACGACAAACAACTGACGCTACTTACTGCGCTTTACATTGGCACTTGTTACCACGTACATCTGTGTCGTGACAATAATAAATTGATAATTAAATTTTGTTTTATGCCTCAAAAGTCGGGACGTTCGTGGGCCGCAAAAAATCAGTTCGCGGGCCGCAGTTTGCCCACCGATGAGTTGGGGGATTCAAGAAAAACAGATTTGAGGAACAGGTACTCTCTAGTATCAAACTCAGTACGGGTTCTCTCATTTCAAAAAAGATGTCGAACTTACAGCTCCTCAAATATACATAATATTTAGAAACGCCAAGCTAAGTGTTAGGAATACGATTGCCATCGCACCTCGGTTACCCTGCGTAGAATCACAGGTCCAAATCCCGCGGGGGATATATTGTGCGAGAGGGGTGGTGAACTTATGGCCGCCGCAAGGTGGTTCACATAACTGCTGATCGGCGATGGCTTCATCCAACATCGAGTCAAGGGAATTGAAAACAAATACCGTAACTGAATAACTAATCCTATACCCAACTTGGACTGGTAACCGGACGAGAGGCCGGGGTACACCATTAATAAAATGAAGCAGTCTTATCCAACAAAGCCTGTTTCTAAACTTCACAGCGCTAAAAACAAAGTTCTAGGAAACAGGCCCTCGTCAACGCGGAGTAAAGTTGCACTCACTCAGAAGTAAAGGAAATTAATCTCTGAGCAAAGTTACGGGCACTTCCTCCGAATGAAAGACGACTCATCTCAAAGTTACGGGAGTTATCAATCTAAATTATACTTTGCAAACTAAAAAACACAATTTACTTCCATAATGTTAACTTTGACCGGGATTAAAATCGCTCAAGGAAACTAAAAACAGCGGCGTCTAGTGGTTAACCCACACGCCCTTCAAAATAGTGTTACGCAATAATACCCGGTGCCGATTTATTACGTCATAATTGAACTAATTTTAAATCGACCAATCACGATCGATCTGAAATAGCAAAAATGCGTGATTATATTTTAATTTATTCTTTATTTCCCATTTTGTGATTTTAGCTTAAGTTAGGGTGTTAGTAATGCGTATAAATTGTAAAATATTAACTTTTAGTTAGGAAATCGAAATCGCTGCAGCAAATTTCATTTACCGGAAAAGACGTCATAGGTCTTTAAGTTCGCGATCCACGTCCTTTACGAGTCCTTTCAACAGTCGGCGAGCGGAACATTCGGAGATAGGTCGTTTCAAAGTGGTTTGGCTGGAATAAATTGGAAGAAACCGTCGCAAATTTCAAATTCAAGTTTCATTTCTATATTTTCTTCAACTTTGCACTAGGAAAATGCCTTTCAACCCAACAGATTTTGCCAAAGATTTGGCTATCGGTGGAACCGCCGCTGCCATTTCAAAAACAATCGTCGCTCCAATTGAGAGAGTAAAGCTTTTGCTTCAGGTGAGATATTTAATAGACTATATATTATTTTTGTTATTGCCGCAAGAACTTGATAAACCAGCCATAACTGCATAATTTATGTTCTTTTCGCTAACTCTAACTGCCAGACTGTTACAGTGTTCCAAAATTTGTGATGTCTGAATGCTGGAATGTTAACAATTTCTTCTTTCAGGTTCCTGTGACTGAAATATATTTTGGTATTAAGATATTCCAGAGTGTTTGTGCAATGAGAAACCATTATGATTACAGTTTTAAATGGAATTTCAAAAATTAATCAGCTGCTACAGTGCTAGGCTCACAATGCCTCAGCTGGCCTCCCGTCCCTATAAATATTTAGTTTTCCATTTTGGTTAGTTTTCTGCCTTTTGCATCTGGATTCAGCTTTCTTGTAACTGCAATAATATTTTAATCAATAATTGAATTGCATTTTTGGTTAACTCAGTAACTGGTGGCTAATATTGGAATTCACCATACTCAACTTCGTCACTTTTTTTTATAACTGTGGTTAATATCAATGATAATTTCAATGGCACCCAATAATTTTATCACAAATAATGATGGAAGTATTTTTTACCCTTAATTCAGTGATTTGGGTTTATCTATTGCCTATAATCGGATTGACATTTGTTTTGCTCATACCAAGTTACTTTAAACTCAATTAAACTAGAGTTATACTTTCAAGATATGATTCCCATAAGTTTCTATTCATTTATGAAAGGTGATATTTGTGATTTCCTAATTTCACTACTCTTATATTTGCTAGCTACTGGTTTTCAAGAGTTGAATGGTTTAAAAGTTTTCATGTCTTTGTAGTTTTGAATATTTTAAAATTTTCAAGTATGCCTACCTAAAAGTGACTTCTGCCTTTTGTTTGTACTTTGTGTTTTCTGATTTGTGCAATAGAGACCAGAATGCAAGATTTTAATTGCTCTTATTAAAACCTAACAGGTCCCATGTCAAATGTTAACTCCAGGAACTTTTGAAAATTCTGTAATGCATGCTTGTCCAATTTAGTTGGAATTCATTTGTGTTCTCAAATTCAATAAGACTGTTATTGAAAGTAATAATTTGCTATATTTAAATTTTATCTCAGGATATTTTCCTTTGTCATTAAGGTTCTATCAAAGCTGTACTGTTCTTGGGTATAAAGAATGCCTCCAAACACCCAGTTTCGCATAATCCGGCTTTCAGATCTCAAATTTAAGTCGTGCCTTTTATTTTCAGGTCCAACATGCATCAACTCAAATCACAGCTGAAAACCAGTACAAAGGTATCGTTGATGCTTTTGTCAGAATTCCCAAAGAACAAGGATTCATTTCATTCTGGAGAGGAAATATGGCCAATGTCATCAGATATTTCCCCACACAGGCCTTGAATTTCGCTTTCAAAGATACCTACAAGAAAGTCTTCTTGTCCGGTGTTGACAAGCGCACACAGTTCTGGCGTTATTTCCTCGGAAACCTTGCCTCTGGTGGAGCCGCTGGTGCAACCGGTCTGTGCTTTGTCTACCCCCTCGATTTTGCTCGAACCCGTCTTGCTGCTGACGTAGGAAGCGGTCAGGCTCGTCAGTTCACTGGTCTCGGCAACTGCATCGCAACTATTGCAAAGAAGGATGGTGTTCGTGGTCTATACCAGGGATTCTTTGTCTCTATTCAGGTATGCGTTCTAGATTTGTGATTTATTTTTCGCTACGGAAATGATTTGGGCCTTCAACATAGGATCTTGAATGTATAAGACAGATGTTACCCTATGCTCTCAATATTTATGACAACTGATCGATTGCAAAGGCAAATTATAAATGGACATTTGGGATTTTATTGACTTTTTAAAATCATAATGGATGTCACTCAGCCGAATCATCAATGCTTGTTGGCCCTCGATTCACAAAATTTGCCCTCTCGTTATTTGCCTCTTACCCTTGGTGGACAGGAGAAGAGGCTAAATGCGCTGCATAATGATGACAGTTCGGCGGCTTGTAGTCCCAAACTGCCTACTATTTGTTCCATTTACCTCCCTCGCGTGGGCTGGGTATAACTTGCGCTTTATACTTCCTAACAAATCCGAATTCCCCTTAACTATTCGATTTTTTTCCCAGGGCATCATTGTATACAGAGCCTCATACTTCGGAACCTACGATACCGTCAAAGGAATGTTGCCAGATCCCAAGAACACTCCAATTATTGTCAGTTGGATGATTGCTCAGGTAAATAGTTTTCTGTGTTATTGGGATTATGGTGTGTCTGAAAAAGACTGAACCAGTTTTAAATGAAATCTATGTGTTCATGAAGTCTAATATGGAAAATCCATCACTTAGAGTGTCCTAGTGACATTATGCTTTTTAGTAAAATTTGACATTTTGACATACTTTTGGTTTTTATAATTAATATTTTAAGACTTCTGCTGCATATGGGCCGCTGTTTTATTTTCGGGAGGTAATGTTAGGTTCTATAACAATTTCTTAAAGAGCATTGCATCGAACAAAATTAATTTTGAACTACAAGGATCAACTTTGTTCGTAAGATGCAAAGTTTTAGGAGGGGTCGGAACACTGGCATTCTAGGGGGTTAGTGTTAGGCCAATGTATATTATCCTGCCACTGGGAATTCTATGGACTTGCACTTAGACTATGGCAACTAAGATTAATCTGATTTTTCTTTCTAGACTGTCACAACTGGTGCTGGTATCATCTCATATCCATTCGACACCGTCAGACGTCGTATGATGATGCAGTCCGGTAGATCCAAGGCCGACATCATGTACAAGGGAACCTTCGATTGTTGGAGCAAAATCTACAAGAATGAGGGAGGCGGAGCTTTCTTCAAGGGAGCCTTTTCCAATGTTATTCGTGGCACAGGGGGCGCTCTTGTGCTCGTACTTTACGATGAGCTCAAGAAGTTGTTTTTCGGCACCTCTGTCCACGGTTAGAAACTTTGAACTTTCGCTCGGCCAATAAAATGTTTCAAATTATGATTCAATTCCGTTTTTTCTATTTATTCGTAAGAACAGTTCTTTTGTCGTCGATCTTTCGTTCGAGAGTTGCCCCGCGGTTCCGGCCGCGGCGTCCTGTCCTATCTGTTCCATGATTTTACCCCCACCTTTGAAAATCTAGAAAATTGTACCTTTTTGGAATGCTTTTCTTCCTATGTTTAGAGTTCAATAAAACTAAAATAATTTGTCAATTGTTTTGTGATGGCTTTTGAGCAGTGTTGCGTCCGTAAACGGCGCTCCAGAAGTGTGTATCAATATGGTACATGTAACTAATTTTGCCAATTTTACATAAAGTTGTGTGAAGGGACTGAAACCTGAATTCACTTGGCTAACGTAAACGGCCCCCAAACTCCTAATATAACTGAAATAAGGAGAATCTGAAACTATTAACCTGGTACGTCTAAACTATCAATGGAATAGTCTTGCTGTTAGTTAGTTTTGTTTAGGTGACATGATTCTCTTTAGGTGACATGATTCTCTTAAGTTATATATGGTCTCTTGATAAGAGACCAGAGTTGGGTTTGATTCACTTTAGTCTGGTCATTGATGTCAAGGTATTATAAGTGGGTTGTTTTGTTTAAATGATTTGAGTTCAATAGTCTTATTAGAAGAGTCACGCTGTTAGTTTTGCTTAGGTGGCATGGTTCTCTTTGAGTTATATATGGTCCCTGATAAGAGACCAGAGTTGGGTTCGATTCACTTCTGTCTGGTCAAGTTATAAGTAGGTTGTTTTGTTTAAATGATTTGTTTCTGATAAATGTTGCCTTCAGTGAGACAATAATTCTGCCTCCCCGACATTTCTTTGGTTATATAGAGTGTTGAATTAGACGGGTTCTGTATGGTGGGTTAGCTTTTTGAAACTGCAGAAGCCTAAATTTTTTAGGTATATGCAAGCTTTTCAAGATGGCGGTAGACTTTCATGTCATGGGAGAGAGTAGACGCTGTAATATGGCGAACTAGGGCTTTGAGTCGGTGTTAAGTCCTGTATGGTAGTAATTGAAAAGGTTTCGTTAAGTATGGCCGTTATAATCAAAATTTGTGTGCATAAGCCGTCCTTATTTCTGTGGTATCGCTAAAACGTCTTGCCACACGGTTTGCCATCTTCATTAATAATGTAGTATCCTAGCACTAACTGTGCTCGTTGTCACTATGAGGCAAAGGTCGTTAAATAAAGGTTAAACAGGCTTTATTATTGTAAAGTCACAATGAGGGAATTGAGACGACACAATACCAGACGCGGTGACGTCGATCGTGTATTCATCTGAATGACTTTTTTTAATTTGTTGCGTCCCAAGCGTGGGGGTAGGCTATTGTTGTGGCTGGTTCAGTATTTGTATTTATATTTTTTCGGCAATGAGTTTTAGAAAATGCTCGTGAGGCTTAATACAAATGATTGGGCAAATTAATTGTCGAATCCCGTGCATCTGAAACAAATACTTCCACACCCGATATAGACTAGTAACAAGGCGAGAGGCTTTTATTCGCCATATGATTAGTTAAGTCCATAGTCTCATCGTTCTTCGCCCCTATCGCAATCATAGATTAAACCTTGATTAATTTCATGACGTAGTAGAGAAACCAAACTACCCGGGCGGGAATTGATAATTATTTATTGTGTTGACTAATAGAATCGAGTTGCTCTAAATCAGCGTTTCCCAAACTGTGTTCCGCGGAACAGTAGTGTTCCGTGAGCGTCTTCGAAGTGTTCCGTGGAAAAAGAATCAAAAATACGTCCAAAATAGTCGCCATGACGATCTATGGAACGTGAAGTGGTCGCCCAACTGACCTTTCGATATCGCGGTCACCGTCGGCCTAAAGTGGACTAATTAGGGTGGGGTAGTGGAATTTTCGATAACCGTCGCTAATCCTCCCCCACCTTTGCCTGGTTTTACCTTAAAATGCTAAAAAAATTTCTCATTTTTGCTAAACTCTATTTAGTAGATAAATAAACTGCTGCAAGTACCTCTATCTTCATTAGACGTAACATTAGAGGCAAACACTAAGTTAGGGAAAGTAAACGACGTGGAATGGTAAAATGAATGAATTGGTTTATATACACAGCATTTAGATAAATAAACAATAAAACATTTATATTAAATGCAATATGCAAAATATTCAATCATTTTTTAGGTATGTTTAACACAATTCTGGTAGTTGCATTTGGCAACTTGCCACGAGATTGGGAACCTCTACATTACATCGTTTTACTTTATCAATTTTACTCTTTCAATTTTTGGTGTTCCGCAAGGCGAGATAAAAAGTGCAAGTGTTTTCGTGAGCAAAAAAGTTTGGGAAACGCTGCTCTAAATAGGCATCGTTACATACGATAATACTTATTGACGACAATCAGAGTCCCTTCTAATCTTGAGTGGGTGTTCATAACTTTACTCAGAGATGAGTCTTCTTTACTTCTGAGTGAATGTCCGGAACTTTGCTCAGAGATGAGTCTCCTTTACTTCTGAGTGAATGCCCGAAACTTTGCTCAGAGATGAGTCTCCTTTACTTCTGAGTGAATGCCCGGAACTTTGCTCAGAGATGAGTCTCCTTTACTTCTGAGTGAATGCCCGGAACTTTGCTCAGAGATGAGTCTCCCACTTTAGAACTTTTCTGAGTGAGTGCCCGGAACTTTGCTCAGAGATGAGTCTCCTTTACTTTCTGAGTGAATGCCCGAACTTTGCTCAGAGATGAGTCTCCTTTACTTCTGAGTGAATGCCCGTAACTTTGTCAGAGATGAGTTCTCTTTACTTCTGAGTGAATGCCCGTAACTTTGCTCAGAGATGAGTTCTCTTTATTCTGAGTGATGCCCGTAACTTTGCTCAGAGATGAGTCTCCTTTACTTCTGAGTGAATGCCCGTAACTTTGCTCAGAGATGAGTCTCCTTTACTTCTGAGTGAATGCCCGAAACTTTGCTCAGAGATGAGTCTCCTTTACTTCTGAGTGAGTGCCCGGAACTTTGCTCAGAGATGAGTCTCCTTTACTTCTGAGTGAGTGCCCGAAACTTTGCTCAGAGATGAGTCTCCTTTACTTCTGAGTGAATGCCCGTAACTTTGCTCAGAGATGAGTCTCCTTTACTTCTGAGTGAGTGCCCGGAACTTTGCTCAGAGATGAGTCTCCTTTACTTCTGAGTGAATGCCCGGAACTTTGCTCAGAGATGAGTCTCCTTTACCTCTGAGTGAGTGCCCGGAACTTTGCTCAGAGATGAGTCTCCTTTACTTCTGAGTGAATGCCCGGAACTTTGCTCAGAGATGAGTCTCCTTTACTTCTGAGTGAATGCCCGTAACTTTGCTCAGAGATGAGTCTCCTTTACTTCTGAGTGAATGCCCGTAACTTTGCTCAGAGATGAGTTCTCTTTACTTCTGAGTGAGTGCCGTAACTTTGCTCAGAGATGAGTTCTCTTTACTTCTGAGTGAGTGCCGTAACTTTACTCAGAGATGAGTTCTCTTTACTTCTGAGTGAGTGCATGTAACTTTCTCAGAGATGAGTCTCCTTTACTTCTGAGTGAGTGCCCGAAACTTTGCTCAGAGATGAGTCTCCTTTACTTCTGAGTGAATGCCCGGAACTTTGCTCAGAGATGAGTCTCCTTTACTTCTGAGTGAATGCCCGGAACTTTGCTCAGAGATGAGTCTCCTTTACTTCTGAGTGAATGCCCGTAACTTTGCTCAGAGATGAGTCTCCTTTACTTCTGAGTGAGTGCCCGGAACTTTGCTCAGAGATGAGTCTCCTTTACTTCTGAGTGAATGCCCGGAACTTTGCTCAGAGATGAGTCTCCTTTACTTCTGAGTGAATGCCCGGAACTTTGCTCAGAGATGAGTCTCTTTTACTTCTGAGTGAATGCCCTAACTTTGCTCAGAGATGAGTCTCCTTTACCTTCTGACGTGAATCCCGTAACTTGCTCAGAATGAGTTCTCTTACTTCTATGAGTGCCGTAACTTTACTGCAGAAGAATGAGTTTCTTTTACTTCTGAGTGAGTGGCATGTAACTTTCTCAAGAGATTGAGTCTCCTTTATTCTGAAGTGAGTGCCCGAAAAACTTTGCTCAGAGATGAGTCTCCTTTACTTCTGAGTGAATGCCCGGAACTTTGCTCAGAGATGAGTCTCCTTTACTTCTGAGTGAATGCCCGTAACTTTGCTCAGAGATGAGTCTCCTTTACTTCTGAGTGAGTGCCCGGAACTTTGCTCAGAGATGAGTCTCCTTTACTTCTGAGTGAATGCCCGTAACTTTGCTCAGAGATGAGTCTCCTTTACTTCTGAGTGAGTGCCCGGAACTTTGCTCAGAGATGAGTCTCCTTTACTTCTGAGTGAATGCCCGGAACTTTGCTCAGAGATGAGTCTCCTTTACTTCTGAGTGAATGCCCGTAACTTTGCTCAGAGATGAGTCTCCTTTACTTCTGAGTGAGTGCCCGGAACTTGGCTCAGAGATGAGTCTCCTTTACTTCTGAGTGAATGCCCGTAACTTTGCTCAGAGATGAGTTCTCTTTACTTCTGAGTGAGTGCCGTAACTTTACTCAGAGATGAGTTCTCTTTACTTCTGAGTGAGTGCCGTAACTTTACTCAGAGATGAGTTCTCTTTACTTCTAATGAGTGCCGTACCTTTGTTCAAAGATGGGTACTACCGTAGCACGTGCACCAGGTTTGGTATAGGATAGGGCTATAAGCAGTAGTGGGATTCAGCCGGTTTGCACCGGTTCTATAGAACTGTCTCACGGAATTTTATAAGATCAGCGAACCGGTTAGCATTACTGAAAAAAAATGGAACAGAACCGCCCGAAAAATATGACTTTTGTGATGGAACCGGCTGACAAAAAATTTGAATCATACCACTGGCTATAGGCCATAGTTTTATTCCTATTTTCCTTATTTTAGTTTTATTACGAGTTCGGGGACTGTCTGTGTTAGCTAAGTGAATACACCCGCAGCCCATAGGTTTCCGTCCCTTTACACAACTCGATGTAAAGTAAGCGAACAAAATTAGTCACCTCCATATTGGTACACACACTTCTGGAGTGCCAAGAGATAAGTCTTTTTTACTTCTGAGTGATTGTCCGTAATGCACCACCATGATTCTATATAGTTCAGTTGGTCGGTTCCCCGCAATTTTGTGCAAAGATGAGATTTCTTTACTTCCGAGTGATTGTGCGTAAACTCGCTTTGAGCAAGTTCTTTCACAAAATGCAGTTCCCTCTTACCCGAC